CCCTCTGCAGCTGTGAAGGGGTTAAGAGGCTGGGCCAGCCACTTCAGCCTGCCCCTCCCAGGGATTAAGAGTCCTCTATAAAGGGGACTGTCCACCCAGAACGGCCAGGGGGGTATCAGGGACCCAAGCATTGTGCCCATCCCCCCTGCCATGTGGGAACTGCGGTCAGCCTCCTTCTGGAGGGCCATATTTGCTGAGTTCTTTGCCACCCTCTTCTATGTCTTTTTCGGATTGGGGGCCTCACTGCGATGGGCCCCCGGACCCCTGCATGTCCTGCAGGTGGCTCTGGCCTTTGGCCTGGCCCTGGCTACACTGGTGCAGGCTGTGGGCCACATCAGCGGGGCCCATGTCAATCCTGCAGTCACTTTCGCCTTCCTTGTGGGTTCCCAGATGTCTCTGCTCCGTGCCTTCTGCTATATGGCAGCCCAACTCCTGGGAGCTGTGGCTGGGGCTGCCGTGCTGTATAGTGTCACCCCGCCTGCCGTCCGAGGAAACCTAGCACTTAATACGGTAATGGTCAGCTAAGTGGGGCTGGAGGAACCTGGTACCCTGACTCCCCGCCTGGTGGAGGCCGATCAGCTCCTCAGGGGTGTGGGCCATTGTGTGCGTGTCTGTGTGTCTGTGTGTGTGTCTGTGTGTGTGTCTGTGTGTCTGAGTCTGTGTGCGCACGCGCATGTGTCAAAGGTAGTTTGGAGGAGTAGGAAGGCATAAAGGCCTGGACTGACTCAAGAGACCCGAGTTCTGGTTTCAGCTTTCCTTCCAACTCCTTGCAGTTTGTTGAGGAAACTTATTTTACCTGACGGGGCCTGGAGCCTCAGCTTCCTCATCTGCATAAGTGGGTACAATTCTTTCTACCACGAAGGGGTATTATTAGGAGAAATTAAGAAAGAAATACAATTACTGTGAGGGGGGTTGTATCCTCCCTCTCCAGGGAACTGATGGCCATAAGGGGGTTGCTGTGTGGGAAGCCTTGAGGAGGTAACATTGTGGCAACCCTAACGAGCTGCCTCCTTTCTTCTTCCTTTGCCCAGTTGCACCCTGGGGTGAGTGTGGGCCAGGCCACCACGGTGGAGATCTTCCTGACGCTCCAGTTTGTGCTCTGCATCTTTGCCACATACGACGAGAGGCGGAATGGCCGCCTGGGATCTGTAGCCCTGGCTGTTGGCTTCTCCCTCACCCTGGGGCACCTCTTTGGGGTAAGCAGGAAAGGGGAGAAACTTCTTGTTTAAGGATTCTAGGGCCCCTCGCCCTTTTGCAACTTTTGAAGTTTCTTTCTGCCCAGCCCACTGTCAAACATGAACATAGTCCACCTCACTCTGTTTCAGTCGGCAACAAGAGGATTCAACACTGTTCTAGTCCTCTCTTCTGTGACCTCTGTATCTGGTTCTTCTTGACCCACCAAGGTGGAAATGTATGCATCATGGGTAGATGCGGGCTTTGTCTATGGATCCATAGTCTGACCCCAGATGAGGTATCAGTGCCTTTCCTCCACTGTGGAGCCCCCACGTAGTTTGTCCTTCCCTACTTGCTGCTGGCTGGGGGCCCAGCCCTCGGGTATGTGGGTTGTAGGGAGAGAAGCTGAGGTAGAGGAGGGGAAAGTGTCTCAGTTATGACTGTGTCTTTTGCAGATGTATTATACTGGTGCAGGCATGAACCCTGCCCGCTCCTTTGCTCCTGCCATTCTCACCAGAAACTTCACCAACCACTGGGTGAGTGAGGGGAGAAGGGCAAGATCCTGAAGCCTTCCTGTGTGGGTGTGGGCTGCAGGCTCCATGTGTGGTTCCTGCTTTCCATCTGGATGTGTTAACTGCTTTACTAGCACCCAGCTAAAGGGGCTGTCACAGAGTTTGGCATGCCTGTGTGAACAGGATTCATTATTTTGCTAGAAAGAGAGGCTCTTGCTCATATTGTTCCTTCACTGGTTGGTCAGGGATTTTTACTAAGTATCCACAGGATTCTAAAACTAGCACTTTGAGGATAGACAACTGAACAAGGAGTCCAAACCTTCTACTCTCAGAGCTCAGGATGTATATGAGTACAGATGGGCCTGTGCCTCATCCCAATTCTAGCACATTATTGGCCTTGCGTGTGACCACGGCAAATGACTCTGTCATTCTGCACCCCAGTTTCCTTACCATAAAATGGGGTGTTAAGAGAAATAAGTGTGAACATTATATATGTGAAATATTTAGCACAGAATCTGGTATGGACTAAGACCTCAATAAAAATTGGCTATGTTTGTGTTGTTTGGCCATATGCCAGCCAAATATACAGAAATAATTTAAAAAAATTTTTCAAAGCTGTAAGCCTATTTTCATGGCAGCATTATTCACAATAACCAAAAGGTGAAAGCAACCCAAGTGTCCCTCACAAGTGAGTGGATAAGCAAAATGTAGTCTCTACATGCACTGGAATAGTATTCAGCCTTACAAAGAAGGAAGTCCTGTCACAGGCTACAACTTGTATGAGCCTCGAGGACATTATGCTGCATGAAATACACCAGTCACCAAATGACAAATACTGTATAACTCCACTTATGTGAAGTATCTAGAGTAGTCAAAAATCATTGAAACAAAGCAAAAGGGTACTTGATGGGGGTTCAGGAGAGGGGGCAATGGGCAGCTGTTATTTAATGGGTATAGAGATTCAGGTTGGCAAGATGAAGGAGTTCTGGAGATTTGTTGCACAACAATATGATATACTTAACATATATCTGTACTGTACACTTAGAATTGGTTAAGGTGGTAAATTTTACGTTATATGTTTTACCACAATTAAAACATTTTTTTCAAAGCAATCTATAAACTAGTGAAAACTGATAACAAGAAATAGAATATATATGTGGGATAAAGGACTAATCTGGTGAGTCAGAAAAGAAATGGTAAGTTTCGAGGTACAGGCAGTAGAGCAGTTTAGAATTTAAAAACAAACAAACACTGGTTTCTGCTTAAATAGTGCCCAGTTGTATATGCCAAGTACAGATGTCTGTTTTCTACCCATAGAGTTGGAAAAAGAGAAGCCTTGCTCTTGATCCCTTCCCCAAGTCTGATTATTCCTCTCCTTTTCCTACAGGTATACTGGGTGGGCCCAATCATTGGAGGGGGACTAGGCAGTCTCCTCTACGACTTTCTCCTCTTCCCCCGGCTCAAGAGTGTTTCTGAGAGACTGTCTATTCTCAAGGGTGCCAGGCCCAGTGACTCCAATGGACAACCAGAGAGCACTGGGGAACCTGTTGAACTGAAGACCCAGGCCCTGTGAAAGCTCCAGTTGGCTAGAGGGAGTAGGAAGCTTCTGGGTTTACTCGGAGGGGCTGAGCCAGCCCCTGGATGAAGAAAGAGACTGGGGGAGGGACATGTACTTCTTTATTTTTTAATTTATGTGTGTGTTTTTTTTGCCTTTTGCCGTGTGAAATCTTTCAAGTTGCATTCATGAGCTGATTTGTGCAAACTTCCCTTCCCTTTCTCCCCATCCCACCTCTCTTCGCCGCTGTGTGTGCATGATTGTGCGTATGAATGGTATGAATGTGAGTGAATGTGGCTGTGTCTGAGTTTTGGGGCACAGCAGGAGAGGTAGGGAAGGGAAAAAAGGTGTCACCCTATACCTTCCTCTCCCAACCCAGTGTGGTGAGCACAGGGAACCAAGACCTTTAAGCTTCTGGCCTTCACCCTGCTGCCAGTCAAGTTTATTAGGGCCCTAGGTTTATGCGGGAGCAGGGAAGCAGGGAGTACTCCTCACAGGAGGCAGATGGAGACAAGGCATTCCAAGGATTGGGAGAAGGGGCTGGGGGCAGGGAGAGAGAAAATGGAGGTATGAGCCCCAGATCAGGCTGCAATTGTACCAAAAAAAGTTGGGGAAGTTAACAGGAGAGTGTAGCCTACTTATCTCAGGGATGCTTGCCCCAGGGACTTGGGTGGGGAAGTAGCTCTGAGAAAAGTGAACACTGGGGTTTGAACTGTTCTGTAAAGCCACATAAACTTGTCTACATCCACCGGCTGGGTTTTGTGTTCATTCTGGTATGATGGATCTCTTTGGAGGCCCTGGGCCAGTGAGCTCCCAACCTAAAAAAGGGGTAGGGTGAGCCTAGAATCTAGAAAAATTAAGTAGTTTAGCGATTCTGCCAGACATCCCCAGAGGGGCTTCCAGGCAGCTGGTACTTAAGCCAAAGAGCTCCCTAAGGTCAAAACAGGAAATCTGATGCCTGGAGCAAATGCAGAGGTAGGGGTGGGGGGCCGTAGGAGGGAGAGGCTTTGACCCTCGGAGTTTTAATTTAGTTAGAGCAGATCAAAACACTCTTCAAATGGTATCTTTCTGCTTTTACCCCTAGTTTTATAGTCTTCCTTATTTTCCTCTTTTTGTGTGCGTCCTTTCATTTTTCTCTCATGTGTCCTTTCATCTTCAGCAAATCTCTTCTAACTCCCTTCATGTCCCAGAAACTGATTCCTTCTATTCAAATGATTAATAATTCAGGAGATAATTATTCGTCTGAGCCCTATCTTCTTTTGTCATCGGCAAAATACACTCAATCTCAGCAGAGTCCAGAGGAGATCCTCAACTTACCAATGAATATTTATTGTTGTTCTCTTCCTTTTAGGAGCCTGCACGCTTCGCAAGCTTTTAAACCTATACCTCTAGCATGAAAGACACCCCGCCCGCAAAGACCCCTCTAGCCCGTAGCTCAACTCTCCACTTCCTCCCAAATAAAGCCTAATTTTTCTAACTAACCTTTGAGACTTTGGAAAAATCCACTTGACTAGGAGAAGGGGAAGAATGTTTGTAAATTTACCTCTAATCGGAATTTGATCCCTACTTTCTTAAGTCAGCAGAAAATTCATAGCGCTGTGGTTCTTAGCTCGACATAGGGGATCGACTCAGACAAAACAGTACTTGTACTCGCTTCCCTTTTCCTTACTTCATCACCACCACCTCCACCACCACCCCGCTCGCTTGGAGTTACATGGACCAGCCCGGCTCGCCCCGCCCCACTCCGCACGCAGGCGGGGACTAGTCCCGCCGGGTCGGGTGGCGGGAAAGGCTGCGGCGCGGCGCGTGAGGGCTGCTGGCTCCGCAGGGATCCTGAGGACCGGCGGGGAGCGGGTGAGTGTGTGGGAGAGAGGGCTCTAGGGGACAGCGTCCTTTCGGAGGCGCGGGGGCACTGTCGAGAGTCGCTGAGCCCGGTTTCCCGCCACCGGCTTTCAAGGCAGGGGGCGGGGCTTGCGCGATAGATGCGCACGCGCAATTCTCCACCCCGAGTCCCGAGTAGGGGCCGCGGCATTCCGCGTTCGCCTGAGAAGCTCCTGCGTTGTCCCCGCGCCTCTCTGCACAGGTGGTCCTCGCGCAGGGGTGGGGCTGTGATGGGAAGTGCCTTGGAACCCCTAAGGTAGAACAGAAGGCTCCCGGGCATTTCCACTTTGGAACTTTCCATCCAGTTCAGACCCGAAGAAACAAGTGCAGCTTGGTGGCCCAAGCAGGAGTCGGAATTCGGAATTCGCTTGACTTAAATCTTGGGTTTTTATAGAATGGATTTTTCATTCCCTTCCCTCCTTTCTCTCGGGTGTCAGGCTTAAGGAGGATACAGCCCTTGCTTGGGTTTGTTAGCTGGACGGGGAGCTGCTAATTAAGCTCCTTTCCTTGGGTCTCAGTTCTTTAAAGACTCTGCCCTTCGTACTGCCACGAGTTAGAAAGTCGGTCTGGTCATTTCAGATTAAATTTAAAATTTCTCTTTGGCCACCCACAGTCAGGTTTAAATCCTTCACAGTCTGATCCTCTCAGCCTCATTTTCTAAAGCTCCCTAACATTTTTCCTGTGTGATGCCCTCGAATCCCAGCCACGTGGAAGGGGTGTGTCTGCGTTGTGCTCTTTCATGCCTTGGTACCTACGCTCCTGCTGTTCTCTCTGCTTGAAGTTCTGGCCACTTCTCTGCCAAATGAACTTCTCTTTCAGGACTGAGCTCACTTGTCCCTCTGAAAACCTCTATTTCCAGCCCCCACCTCCCTGGCCAAAGTAGTCATTTCTTCCTTTGTGTTCTTGAAGTATTGTACCTCCTTCTATGATCAGTGTCACTGATACAGACCAGTAAAAAGTTCCTAAGCTCCTAACAGGTACTGTGCACTGTGCTCAGTGACAGGTGAACAGAGATGAATAGGACAGAGTTCTTGACCTTAAGGAACTCACAGTCTGGATGGAAAAACACATGTAAATGAGTCCTCTGCAGTTACTGGGTGACAAAGAAGTCTGCCCTGGCTTCCTAAGTCCTCTCACTTTGTACTCTCTTGAGTAAGCTTATTTCCTGCCACAGCTTCACACACCTTCTTGTATTCTGATGCCTCCAAATCTCCAGCTCCAACCTTTCCTCCCTCAATTTCAGGACTTGTCTGCTTCAGTTTCAATTTAGAAACCATTTATTGATCATTCACATTGTGCTGGTCACAATGATTCCTGATCTTAAGGAGTTTATAATTTAGATCAGTTGTTAACAGGATAGTGAGTTAGAATCACCAGATGAGCATTTTCAAAACACTCTAATCCAAGCCCCACCCTCTGCAAGTTCTGATTCTCTAACTAGACTCTGGAAATTCAGAGATGAGTAAGAAATACTTTATGCCCTCGGAATCTAAGACTAAAGGAGGGAGACAGACATTTCAAACAATCTGTTTAAATACGACATATAACATGATCTGTAGATGCCATGATGGAAGTATATTTACGGCACAAAGTAGACATAAAGGAGAGAGAGGTCTCTTCGGGATGGAAAAGTTGGGAGGAAGTACCATTTGGGCAGAGTCTTAAAAGATGAAAGGATAGACTGGAGGGCATTCAGGACAGAAGAGTAACTTGAGAGAGCAGCTTAAAGGTAACCAGTAGGGAGATTATGAAGGACCTTGTATTGTAGGCATTTGAAGCTGCTGAAACTTTAGTTTTGTAGTGCATGCTGTAGTAAATGATTCAGATAGTACTAAAGTGAAAGGTAAATATTTCCTCCTATTGTAGCTCCCTCCCCATTTTCCCCAGAGACAATCACCATGAAGTTTCTTATGTATCCATTGAAGGGTTTCAAGCAGGGTAGTTATATGGCCAAATCTAGTAACTATTTTGTGAATAGATTTAAGGGAACAACGCTGGAAGCAGAAAAGGAGGTTAGGAAGTGGTTGAGTAACCTAAGCTAGAGGTAGTCAGGGTCTGAATGAAGGCAGGAGCAATGGGGATTTATAGGGGTTGGATAGGAGAGCTTAAGGAAGTAGAATTAGCCTGAGTTAATGACTTGAGGTATTTAGGATGACACCTAGCTTTCTATATGAATGACGAAATAGATAGTGTCAGTCCTTAAAGAGATCCACAATAGAAGTAGAGACAAATTTAGGGGGAAGATACTCCATTTTGGACATGTTTAACGTGAGGTATCAATGACACATAAAGATGGAGAATGCTATTCGGTAGTGGAATGTGAGATTGACATCATGAGAGCTCAGTATGGCAAGAGTACAGATTTGCTGGCTAATGACTCAGAGATAGTAGCTGAAGACATGGGAATGGATGAGTTTGCCCAAGGAGGCTGTGTAAAATAAGACAGGAAGAGAACTGAAGATGAAGGCCTATGGACATCTGTGCTTGAGAAGGGGGAGCCAATATGGCGTCAAAGAAAGATTTTGTTTTATGTTGGGTTTTTTCCTCCCTGAGATGGAAGAGCTTTGAGCAACTTATATAGGCTGATATAAAGAGAAGATTGGAAACAAATGAGAAATGAGGGACAACCGGGGCACCTGGCTGGCTCAGTCGATAGAGCATGTGACTCTTGATCTCAGGGTGGGGAGTTCGAATCCCACGTTGGGTGTGGAGATTACTTAAAAAAAATAATATCTTAAAAAAAAAAAAGAAATGAGGAACAACCAACTAAGGGACAGGAAGTGATTGATAAATCACAAATGGAGGGCTTAGATTAGAAGCAAGGAAGTCTGGGTGGGCATTTGAAATATGTATGTTTTTAGGCTTGGGTGGAGAAAGTTGAAAGAGTTCTTCCTTGTCTGATGACTGACCTCAGTTGTTCCTCAGAGGAAGGGGGCAGAGACACCGGCTGAAAGATCTGGGAGGCAATGGAGTAGAGGGGCTTGAGGATAACCGTGAAAGCTAGAAACAGTTGGTCCTTGGGAAAGAGAAGAGGAAGTGGGCCAGGAACACTAAAAAAGATTGGCTGGGCCAGGCTGAGGGCCCTGCTCAGGTTGGAGACTACACAGTAGTTGTGTATCATTCTGCAGGGTTTGGTTTTCTTCAGCAAATCTAAGTCAGGATTTAAGTTCAGGAGTCTAGAAAGTGGATGGTTGGACTGATTTGAGGTTGGGATCTTTTGCAGGGTTGAATGCAGCGAAAGGAAAGAGATTGACACCTCACAGAGAGTGATATGTAGTGATAACAATAGCAGGTCATGTGGTACTGCTTGTGTGACCCCAGTTTGATCATTTTGTTTTTCAGCTCAAAAAATCTTCGATGACTTCTTGGCTTTTGTTTAAATCCTTGAATTGGTAGACAAAGACAAGGTTGTCCCATAAAGTCAGTTCCAACCCCTCCTTTCTACTGCTGTCCTGTTAGTTTCAGCTACCCGAAGTGTTTCCCTCTCTGCTTTCGCTCTGGTAGTTCTCTGCCTAAATGCCCCACCTCCTCTCGGCTGCGTGAACACTATGGAGCCTTCAAAGGCCCCGATCTAGTCACACTTCCTCTGACCAAACCTCCTTGACCACTTTCACCTGAAAAGAACCCTAGTTTGTCAGAATATTTTTTCAGTATCACTTAGTTAGAGCTTATACTGATTGTCTTTTACCTTTTTTCTTTTCTATTAGGCGGGTTTTATTTCTGCAACTACATTTCTTAAATTTCTTTAGCACCTGCGCAACATTTATCTTTTCTTTGCTTTGGGGGCTCATCGTAAGCATTTAGTGACTGATCATAGAGTCCCGTAGGCAGAGAGGAAATTTACATTTTGAGATTTCTTACTTTGTGCTCAGCATTCAGTGAAGTGCCTGGTATCAGTGCTTCTCAAACTATCTTGGTAAAGGACCAGGTAGGTTTTTTTCCCCTCCAAGGTGTTACAAATCAGTACTTTTCTTTCTTTCTTTCTTCCCCCATCCCCACGTTTACTGAGTTATAATGGATATATAAAGTACTTTTTTAAAAACACTTTGGTAAAACACTGGAACTATGTAATTACTAATGATAAACAATTAAGATAGTACTAAAGTGAAAGACAAATGAGATAAATGTTTCTCCTACCCCAGACACCCCCATTCTCCCCAGAGATAGTCACGAAGTTTTTTATGTATCCATTGAAGGGTTTTAGGTAGGGTGGTTATATGGTCAAATCTGGTAACCATATTATGGATAGACTTAACTAAGGCAGGGAAAGAGGTTAGGAAGCAGTTGAATCATCTAAGCTAGAGATACGCAGGGCCTGAACTAAATTAAATTACCAGAAAAATAACATGCAAAAACAAAAAAACAAAAAAAAGAAAAATAACATGAAAAAAACATACAGAACATAGAGTTTTAAAAATTATTAGATTCAAGGGGCACCTGGGTGGCACAGTTGAGCAGCTGACTCTTGGTTTCAGCTTGGGTCGTGATCTCAGGGCCCTGATCTCGGAGTCGTGGGATCGAGCCCTGCATTGGACTCTCCCTCTGCCCATCCCTGATCGCTCTCTCTCTCTCTCAAATAGATAAATACATCTTTTAAAAAATTATTAGATTCAACAAACATTAACTCTTACCTTGCTGTAAGATGTTCTAAATGCTTATGCTTCGTGTCTGTACTTAATGCAGACCAGCGGCTTGTGGACCAGCAGTGGTCCGCATACCATGCTTTGAGTAGCGCTGCTTTCCATGCATGATTTCATTTAAATTTCTCAGTATACTGACAAGGAAACTGAAGTTTAGGTTAAGCCACAAACTCAAGATCACCAGTTTAGTACTGGACAGACCTGGAATCCAAATGCCAAATGTCATTCTTTTCATACTAGTGATTCTCAAAGCTGGTTCTTAGAGTTGGTTTGGGGCGGAGTTTTTTGTTTGGCTTTATTTTGTTTTCAAGAAGTGAGTTAATTTTCTATTTTCAATAGCAAGTGTATTTAATATTTTCTCCTTTGTTTTTATTTGGTTCTTGCATTTTGAGGCCTACAAGTATTAATTTCAGAGGAATATTGCTTCGTTTGAACCACCTGGTAGTTAGTTGAGTGGGAAAAGTGACATCCTTTTAAATGTCTGCTGAGTCTAAGATGTTTGACAAAGTTCCCATCTGTCTATGATGAACTGTGAAAGTAAAATATAATTAGTTTTTTCATAAATTCTAGTTATCAAATTTAATGGACTGTATTTTATCCTGAGATTTTGTTCTTAGTTTTTTTGTTTTTGTTTTTTATGTTTAAATAGAAAATAGAATATATAGTAATTGCGTGGGATTTTTTTGTAACAGCTTTATTGAGATATAATTTACAGACCATAAAATTCACCCTTTTAAAGGGTACAGTCCACAGAGTTGTATAACCATTAGCACTAACATTAGAGTATTTTCAACCCCTCCCCCAAAGTTACTCTATATGTACCTACTAGCTGTATTCTACCTCTCCTTCTTCCAGGCCCTGGCAACCACTAATCTACTTTGTGTCTATATGGGTTTGCCTATTCTGGACATTTCATATAAATGGAATCATACAGTATGTAACCTTTTGTATTTGTCTTCTTCCACTGAAAATACTGTTCTCAAGTTTCATCCATATTGTAGCATGTATCAGCACTTTGTTCCTTTTCATTGTCAAATATTCCATTGTATAGATATACCACTTTTTGTTTATCTGTTCATCAGTTGATGGACATTTGGGTTTTTTCCCACATTGTGACTACTATAAATGATGTTGCTATGAACATTCACGTACACATTTCTGTGTGGACGTACTTTTTATTTCTCTCAGATAAATAACTAAGAGTGGAATTGCTGGGTCTTAGAATAACTCTGTGTTTAACATTTTGACGAATTGCCTATTTTCCATAGCAGCTGAACCATTTTGTAGTCAGCAATATGAGGGGGGTGTGTGTGTGTGTGTGTGTGTGTGTGTGTGTGTGTAAGTGTCCTTAAGTTACAAAATGTAAAGTTGGCAACCTTATGTTAGTCACCCTAAATTAAGAAACAAAAAATTAAAGACCCACCTATGAAATCCAGAAGTTTGGAAGCCACTGTATTTCACAAAACAAACAAATCAAAAAAACCCAAAAACCTATCCAGGAGTTTATTGATGAAAAAAAAGAATTTCTTTTTAGTTGGTTCTTTGGCAAGCCAGAATGGCTGGTTTTCCTGTTTTGCCTCTGTTGTGAGTGAAAGAGGCAGCATGGGGGGAATCGCTTTCAAAGCAGAAAATCCAGGAAGTGTAATAAAATGCTTTTATTAGAACAAAGAGAAATTACAGACTTGTGTTTATTCTGTCCCATGCCTGGAAATAGTACATGCGGTTTCTCCTTTTCCTCCTGTGCAGGAGGAAAAGATTTATTGGAGGTAACTATAGTGAGACCCCACTCTCTTGTCTGTGCATCAGAATTAACTTTTTTTTTTTAAGATTTTATTTATTTATTCATTTGAAAGAGAAAGTGATGCGCACTCATGAGCAGGGGGAGGGGCAGAGGGAGAGGGAGAAGCAGACTCCCTGCTGAGCAGGGAGCCCACTCCGGTTGGATCCCAGGAACCCAGAATCATGACCTGAGCTGAAGGCAGATGCTTAAGCTACTGAGCCACCCAGGCACCCCTGAATACCTTTATTTTTAAACACAAGATGTATCTTTTTTTTTTTTTAAGATTTTATTTATTTATTTGACAGAGAGAGACAGTGAGAGAGGGAACACAAGCAGCGGGAGTGGGAGAGGGAGAAGCAGGCTCCTGCTGGACGCGGGGCTCGATCTCAGTACCCTGGGATCATGACCTGAGCCGAAGGCAGACACTTAACAACTGAGCCACCCAGGCGCCTCCTACAAGATGTATCTTTATTATTAATTTCCAAGATCCCTCTTCTGCTTCAGATCATTCACATTTTTATGTAGTTGTTATTGTGAACATTCTACTTTATGTGCCCTTTTTTATTTTTATTTTTTTAAGATTTGAGAGTGTGAGGCAGGGGAGGGGCAGAGGGAGAGAGAGAATCTCAAGCAGACTCCCCACTGAGCAGGGAGCCTGACACAGGATTCAGTCCCAAGACCCCAAGATCATGACCTGAGCCAAAATCAAGAGTCAGCCCCTTAACCGACTGAGCCACCCAGGCGACCCTACGTGCCCTTTTTTAATGTAAGCTTTTGAATTTTAGTGTGCAGTTAGTTTTTATAGGACATATTATTTATTGGTATTCTCTAGTTTTCCTAGCTGTTCCTCAGGGGTGGGATATCTGGCTTGTTTCCAAGCCTTTACCATTAAAGATAACTCATCTACAGAGCGCCTGGGTGGCTCAGTCGTTAAGCGTCTGCCTTCGGCTCAGGTCATGGTCCCAGGGTCCTGGGATGGAGTCCCACATCTGGCTCCCTGCTCGGCAGGAAGCAGGCTTCTCCCTCTCCCACTCCCCCTGCTTGTGTTCCTGCTCTCGCTATCTCTTTCTCCGTCAAATAAATAAATAAAATCTTTAAAAAAAAAAAAAGATAACTCATCTATAAACATCTTCCTGAAGTGTTCATTCTCTCTGAGCCTCTGTTTCTTCATCTGTAAAATGGAAATGATTGTATCTATCACTTATGACTGTTGTGAGGTTCAAAGTGTAATAAAGCTATGAAAGCATGTTATAAACTAGAATGTACTAGGAAGAGGTATTATATTTGTTTTTGTGTAAGTGATTTCCTCTCTTTTTTGAATTGTTTTCTTGGGTTATAATCTCCAAAATGGGCTCACTGGTTCAGAGGTTATGACCCAGGATAGTCCGTTAATTCAAAATTAATTCATTCAACAACTATGTATTACATGCTCACTATACGCATGTTCTAGGCATTGAGGAGTACAGCACTAAACAGCAAAATGAAACATTGCCCTCAGGGAGCTTTCCTTTTGTTGGGCTGGTTTATGACTTTTAATATTATCATATAAATATATAAATCGATGATTCCTGGGGCGCCTGGGTGGCTCAGTCGTTAAGCGTCTGCCTTTGGCTCAGGTCATGATCCCGGGGTTCTGGGATTGAGCCCCGCATCGGGCTCCCTGCTTGGCGGGAAGCCTGCTTCTCCCTCTCCTGCTCCCCCTGCTTGTGTTCCTGCTCTCACTATCTCTCTCTCTGTGTCAAATAAATAAAATCTTAAAAAAATAAAAAATAAATAAATCGATGATTCCTAAGTGCCAGTGAGCAGAACAGTACTAGTCTATGAAAACATTTCTATCAGCCTGAAGTCAAATGAGAAAGAGAAGGACAGTGTAGGGAGTTTTTCATAAAGACTTGTTTATGTACCTTAAAGAATGGGCATAGCTGAGATTATATAACATCTACTTTTTATGTGTGTGTTAAGCTGTTTCTTTCTTATATGCAACACTGGTGTTAATAGATGTTAGTGGGGTGTTTTGTTTTTTTTTTAAGATTTTATTTATTTGACAGAGAAACAGCCAGAGAGGGAACACAAGCAGGGGGAGTGGGAGAGGGAGAAGCAGGCTTCTCGCAGAGCAGGGAGCCCAATGCGGGCTCGATCCCAGGACTTGGAATCATGACCTGGGCTGAAGGCAGACACTAAACGACTGGGAGCCACCCAGGCACCCCTGTTAGTGGGGTTTTAAAAAAGTGTTTGTAGGGGCGCCTGGGTGGCTCAGTTGGTTAAGCGACTGCCTTCGGCTCAGGTCATGATCCTGGAGTCCCGGGATCGAGTCCCGCATCGGGCTCCCTGCTCGGCAGGGAGTCTGCTTCTCCCTCTGACCCTCCTCCCTCTCAGGCTCTCTGTCTCTCATTCTCTCTCTCTCAAATAAATAAATAAAATCTTTTTTAAAAAAAAGTGTTTTATTTTTAATATGCCTATCTTTTTTTTTTTTTTAAGATTTTATTTATTTATTTGACAGACACAGCGAGAGAGGGAACACAAGCAGGGGGAGTAGGAGAGGGAGAAGCAGGCTTCCCATGGAGCAGGGAGCCCGATGCGGGGCTCGATCCCAGGACCCTGGGATCATGACCTGAGCCGAAGGCAGATGCTTACCGACTGAGCCACCCAGGTGCCCCATTAATATCCCTATCTTTAATACCCTTACCAGTCAAGATTGCTTCTCCAGTTTGGGGGGATATATACTGGTACGTGAAATCATGAAGCATGGGAACCACTGATTTTTATTTTAACTTTGTATTATCCATCTGCGCTTACAACATGCTGTGATATAACTTACCTGGATTCTCACAATACAATAACCATATAATGGAAGTGGAGTAGGTATCTGTCAGTTCAGGTCCAGGGAGCAGGCACTGAGTGGAGAGAGGAGTGCCTGTGATAGACCAAGAAGGCAGCGAGTTTGGGGGCAGCAAGAGGCTCAGCCCACAGGGCTGATCTGCCAGTCTCAGCCGAACCAGTGAGAAACTCAGAAGCAAGGCTTGACTGGTAGAGGAGTCCTTGTTGGACAGAAATGGCTAGGACCAAGGACCCCTGTGCTTATCATTTTCCAAGGGTCTGCCCAGGAAGCATAGCGCTGCGGTGGGTCCTGGAGGTACTGTCAGCGAGCCACATTCTTTGCAGCTGAATGACAAGCTTTTTTTTTTTTTTTTTAAGATTTTGTTTGTCAGAGAGAGAGCACAAACAGGGGGAACGGCAGGCAGAGGGAGAAGCAGGCTCCCCGCTGAGCAGGGAGCCCAATGCAGGACTCGATCCCAGAACCGTGGGATCATGACCTGAGCCGAAGGCAGATGCTCAACCGACTGAGCCACCCAGGCGCCCCAACAAGCTCTTTCTTGATGAGAAATCTCTGAGCGGGCACGTCCATGGCTGCCGCAGCATCTTTTCTGTGACTGACTGCCTTGGTGAAGAACAGAGAAGGAGGCAGGGAAGCCAGGACCCTGACCCCACCTTGTGACCATTGTCCTATTCTTTGTGTTAGTTTTTACTGAATGATTCCCAAATGAAAGAAATTGAGTGCATTCAGAAATGCATAAGCCAATCAGATTATAAGTAGTCTAGGAGAGGAAGATGAGACCAGACAGACAAAGTGAGTAGCTTCTAGTTAAATGAATGAAAAGAGTGAACTCTTAAGTTTTCTGTCCCTGGATGATTTTTTAATAGCGTGTTTCCACCCGGAATGGGTGAAACACCTGTGAGAGCTGTTTGATTCCAGTTCTAATGAATAGGCCCAAGACTGCCAGCTTGCTTCATGACCTGAGAGCTTTACAATAGGTCATCTGACCCATTTCTTCCTCTGCTTTGCCTGTTGCTCTCTGGTTTTGTCAAAACTGCAGGGGGGTGGGATTGGGGGGGGGACCATAAAACTCCAGGGGATTAGAATCTGAAGTCCTGGGTCTCTTAACATAACCTCTTCCCTTCTCAAGTCTGCAAGGACATCTCCTTTCCCCTCCCCCTCTTAGTTTGGTAGCCAGGTAACCGGTAGCCAGGTAACAGGTAGCTGTTACTACCTTGTTATTTTTGCCTTTCAGGTAAAGTGATGTTTTGAAAGCAGATGTCTGAGTACTCTGCTGGGGCCACTTTTACAAATATTGAATCTTTACATAGCATTGGTCTACAAACTACAAAGGTATGGGGGAAGGGGAGCTGGGAGTGTATGAGGTTGTCTGTCTTAGAGCCTCCCAGCCAAGACTTTATCCTGTCACACCTTTCAGTGCCAGAGTGTGATGCTGGGTCTTACTTTGAAGAGGATGTGCTGGCTCAGCATCTTTATAGACCATTTTTGTCAGCTTCCTAGGCTGCCACTTGGAGAGAGCAGAGAGGGAAGCCCTTCAGTCTGGGTGTGCGCACGTACATACGTAAACACACCAGTGATCTATCTGAAAAAGCTGATGTGTCTAAGGGGAGAATCAGAGATCCCACACACTGCATCTACCACACTGGAGTCCAGGTCTGAGGGGTGACAGGTCCCATGAGACAGGGCACTGAAGAGAAGTCTCCCTTCAGGGACGCCTGGGTGGCTCAGTCGGTTAAGCGTCTGCCTTCGGCTCAGGGTCCTGGGATCGAGTCCCGCATCGGGCTCCCTGCTCCGCGGGGAGCCTGCTTCTCCCTCTGCCTCTGTCTCTCTCTCTGTCCCTCATGAATAAATAAATAAAATCTTTAAAAAAAAAAAAAAAAAGAAGTCTCCCTTCAGACTCCTGGTCCTTCAGTGTTTTACAGGCTCACGCTGGGCCGAGCATTCGGAAAGTAGATTAGCACTGGGTGAGGGTAGAAGGATAGCAGGTAGCCTAGAGAAGTAGACCGATTACATAAATGCAAGGAGATGACATCAGGCATTAAACCTTAGTCCTTTGGACACTACCCATTTACTCTTGGGGAACAGGGGTGGAGTCAGGGGCTAGAGGTAGCTATGGAACAGGGAAAGGTCTCTTCAGAGGAAGCTGCCAAGGGCTGAGAGCAGTGTAGCTGAATAACTAAGGGGCCAAGATTAACAGACATTCCCAGTTTTCCACAAGAACAGGTTAGTGAATGCAACGTATTTGTGTGTGTGTGTGTTATTAGGGTCAGGTTCTGAAATATCCAAGATTCAGGATCTCCTGGTGCGCCTGGGTGGCTCAGTCGTTAAGCATCTGCCTTTGGCTCAGGTCGTGATCCCAGGGTTCTGAGATCGAGCCCCGCATCGGGCTCCCTGCTCGGCGGGAAGCCTGCTTCTCCCTCTCCCTCTCCCCCTGCTTGTGTTCCCTCTCTCGCTGTCTCTCTGTCAAATAAATAAATAAAAATCTTTAATTAAAAAAAAAAAAAGATTCAGGATCTCCACCTACCTGATTATCTGATGAGGGTTTAGGGATCTTAATCAAAAGGGACAAGCCTCAGAAAAGGAAGATGGTTCTTCTGGGGAGAATGATGGGGAGTTTAACTGGTTCCTATTTAATTCTTCTCCTCACCCATTCCGTTAGACACTAACTTCTACTAAGATCCCCAAAATTTAAGAGTAACTTTGGGGAGGAGAGTAAAGGAACTTCCTCTCTGCATGCCCAGTGCCTCAGAAGCCTCCGGACTCCTAGGAATGTCAGATCCTAAGTAGAATCACTGTATGGTCAAAGCTGGGTTTCTTAGCCCTTGTGGTACATAGAGCTGTAACATGGTATGTGGAGGGGCTGTGGAAGGTGGAGGGGCCTTAAAGGAGAGGGAAGCCCATCCCCCCCTTCCTCCAGAAGGCTACGGAGCTCTCTGAGGATGAAAGTCTCAGAGCTGATGCCTTTCTCTAACCAACCTTTCTTTCTATGCATTATCTTGACTCTGAAACAGACTGTCTCCATAGTTTTAGATCCAAGTTAGAATATGGAGCAGGTGCTTAATTCTTAGGCTTGGAGTCTCCCTGGTTTTGATCAGGTAGAAGCCTTAATTTAAGCTTTCCCTGGAACTAGGAATAGCACTTTTGGTACTTTTGACAAAAGCGAAGCATTTGAGGACCTTGGTTGGAATACTCTGAGCATTAGGGTCCTGTTCTGTCCCCCTCTCCCTTGCATGGAGAGGCCCCTCCATGTGTTATCTTTCCCTGTCTCTGCAGGCCTCATCATTTCTGGGTCCTGTCTCCACCTACCTTATATCAGTGTCTCTTGGCTGGCCCACTGGTGTATGGACTTACACATGATGAATTGTGAACTTCTGGCCACATGTAGTGCCCTTGGGTACTTAGAGGGAGACACTTACCACAAGGAACCAGATTGCTTGGGTGAGTGCCTTTTTGAGGAAACAGGTAAAAAACTTGCTTGAATTGAGGTGGTCTGTAGAATTTCTCAAGTCACGGGTATGACTAGCCTGTGGGCCAGGGTGGAGCTTTTTCTAGGGTTCCTTGTGTTTATTCTGTCCCTGAAGAGAGCGTGAAGGATTTGATCCGCTACTTGAGGCACGAGGATGACACTTGCAACGTGCGGCAGCAGCTGGGGGCAGCCCAAATCCTGCAGCGTGACCTTCTACCCATCCTTACCCAACACCGCCAGGACAAGCCTCTTTTTGATGCCGTTATCAGGTTGGTTCCCCAGCTTTTTAACTTTTACCGTGCGCCAGCCCTTGGTGTTTGAGCCGATAGATTTCGGCGTTCGACGCTGGTGAGGGAACTGAACAACGTCTCCCTCCTTCATGGTCTCCCCAGGCTGATGGTGAACTTGACACAACCAGCCTTGCTCTGTTTTGGCAGTGTGCCCAAGGAGCCTGGCTTGCGGCACCATTTTCTGCAGGTGCTGGCGTACTTGCAGGCCTACAAAGAGGTGAGGTTTTCCTTCAGAGTCCCTGGGGCAGAAGTTGGGGCAGTAGGGAAGGAGAGGGTGGGTGCCACTTAAGGTCCATTCCCCTATTTTATAGGCCTTTGCCAGTGAGAAAGCTTTTGGAGTCCTCAGTGAAACTTTGTATGAGCTGCTGCAGCTGGTGAGTGAGGGTGCACCTGCCAGGATCCCGAGGGACGAGTTGTTAGTGCCTTGCTCCTCCTCTGGGCAGAGCGCCAGGCTGCTTGGTCATTGTCAGGACGGTGGAATTTGGAGATGTGGTCCCAGTCCTTGCAATACATAAGCCCCATCCATTGTCTCTGGCTGCCTCAGGACTTCTTGAACTCTTTTCTTCCTTCTTAATCCTGGTTCTCCTCTGGGTCTCTGTCCCCTAGCCAGGGTAGATGCCACCTACCTTCCGCAGGGAGTTTCTTCCTCTAACTGTCCTTCTGACTAGGGCTGGGAGGAACGGCAGGAGGAAGACAACTTGCTGATTGAACGGATCCTGCTGCTGGTCAGAAATATTCTCCATGTTCCAACTGACCTTGATCAGGAGAAGGTGAGAGGGTCTTGGGTTGTCCGCTTTCTTCCGCTTGGTCAGGTTGAGCTGCACTTTTTTGCTTTTCTGCCCTCTGACAAGTCAGGGGGGATCCTTGGTCAAGGAATGAGTTGGAGAACCTCAAGGCAGGGCAGTGGAAGTGAATGACCTCTCTTCCTCCCCTTATCACTCACTGCTCAGAGGATCGACAATGACGCCAGTGTCCATGACCAGCTTCTCTGGGCAATTCACCTCAGTGGCCTGGATGACCTGCTTCTCTTTCTGGCCAGCTCGCCCGCTGAGCAACAGTGGAGCCTGCATGTGCTAGAGATTGTCTCCCTCATGTTTCGTGACCAGGTGAGAACCTGGCTTATTTCCCTAGTCCCTTCACCCATGTACTTTTCTGCTGTGTAGCCAGAATTACTCTTGAAATGGTGGCTGAATTACCTGGGAGCAGGTGGGTGACAGAGTAGCCATGCCTTGAGTATGGGGTACTTTCAGCAGTCCTAGTTCATTCACCCTTTCTGTTCCCACTAGGACTGAACCTAGAACAAGGACTGGCTGCCCTTCTGACTCTTGCTTTGTTTCAAATCTAGAACCCTGAACAGCTGGCAGGAGTAGGACAGGGACGCTTAGCGCAGGAGCGGAGCACAGATGTGGCAGAACTGGAGGTGTTGCGCCAGCGAGAGATGGCAGAAAAGAAGACTCGAGCCCTTCAGCGAGGCAGCAGGTGAGTGGCAGGGAGGTGCCGTGCCTCTGTTCCCATCCCTTCCGTATGGAATGCTGAGGGCTTGGGCCAAAGGCTAACACAGTGGGGACCAGATAACATTTTGCAGTCATGATATGCTCCGATGTGCTGGTGAGAGAGAATGGGGATAAAGCTTCCAGAGAATTGAGGAATCACCCTGGACTATTTTTTGTACTGCAGGCATTCTCGATTTGGGGGCTCCTACATTGTCCAGGGTTTGAAATCCATTGGGGAGAGGGACCTCATCTTTCACAAAGGTCTCCACAATGTGAGTACGCTCCCCATTTGGGGTGGGAACATTGTGGAGTTGAGGATGCCTAAGGAAGGTAAGCAGGGGGGTGCCGGCTGCCTCAGTCGGTGGCGCATGCAACCCTTGATCTCAGGGTTGTGAGTTCGAGCCCCATGTTGGGTGTAGAGATTACTTAAAGATAAAATCATAAAAAGAAAAAGAAAGGTAAGCAAGCATCTCTGGACGTAAAGCATCTTTGTTCTTGGGCTTAGAAAGTTGGAGACAGGGGCACCTGCATGGCTCAGTTGGTTAAACATCTGCCTTCGGCTCAGGTCATCATCTCGGGGTCCTGGGATCGAGCCCTTCATTGGGCTCCCTGCTCAGTGGGGAGTCTGCTTCTCCCCTGCCCTCTGACCTTCCTTCCTGCTTGTGCATGTGTGCGCGCTCTCGCGCACTCTCTCTCTTATCTCAAAAAAGGGGCGGGGGGGGCACCTGGGTGGCTCAGTCGGTTAAGGGTCTGCCTTCAGTTTGGGTCATAATCCCGGGGTCCTGGGATCTAGTCCTGCATCAGGCTTGTCCCTCTCCCTCTGCTCCTTCCCCTCTTTGTGCACATGTGCTTGTTCTCTCTCTCTCTCTCTCTCTCAAATAAATAAAATCTTTAAGAAAGAAAGAAAATCTTAAAAAATAAAAAGAAAGTTGGAGACAATAGGAGAAATAGAGCCTCCGGCATTATTGTCTTTATCTATATACTTCACTTAGTACCAGAGGGAACCTTCTAAGAGTTTTTTCTGAGGAAATTGTAGCACTAGGGATGTGGAAAGAACTGCAGGGGGAGGATGGTGGTGAAGGCTAATTCTAACCCCCCAACCCACACCCCCAGCTCCAAAACTACAGTTCGGATTTGGGAAAGCAGCCCCGAAGGGTGCCTAAACGTCGTCAAGCTGCCCGGGAGCTATCCATTCAGCGCCGCTCTGCCCTCAATGTGAGACTCTTCCTCAGAGACTTCTGCTCTGAGTTCTTGGAGAACTGTTATAACCGGCTCATGGGCTCGGTGAAGGTGAGAGCCTGGGAAAGATGGAATAGAGTGGTAATGGGGCCAGTGGTGGGTAAGAAGCGCAACTGGGGAGGATATGGGAGGCTGACCCCGGAGTGTGGACTAGTAGGCAGGCAGGGTATAGGGCACCCTTGAGAGATGGTGGGGATGTTGAGAGGGGGTGCATTATTGGGGCCATTTTAAAAAGGCTTAGAGAGGGACGCCTGGACGGCTCAGTTGGTTAAGCATCTGCCTTCGGCTCAGGTCATGATCCCGGGGTCCTGGGATCGAGTCCCACATTGGGCTCCCTGCTCAGCGAGGAGCCTGCTTCTCACTCTGCCTGCCACTCCCCCTGCTTGTGCTCTCTCTCTCTGACAAATAAATAAATACAATTAAAAAAGAAAAAAAAAGGTTTAGAGAAAGTCCCCAGAGGAAGGGGAGAGACCTAGGGAGAACAAGAGAGGGCTGGAAATTCTGAATCCTAGAATATTGTTACAGTGGTGTCCAGGCTCTATCCCATCATCCTATAGGACAAGGAGAAAGTTGGAAGCCCTGGGGTCATGGGGTGATCTTTTTTTCCTGGTCATTAGGATCACCTGCTGCGGGAGAAGGCTCAGCAGCATGATGAGACCTACTACATGTGGGCCTTGGCTTTCTTCATGGCCTTCAACCGAGCTGCCTCCTTCCGGCCAGGCCTGGTTTCTGAGACCCTCAGTGTCCGTACCTTCCACTTCATTGAACAGAACCTCACCAACTACTATGAGATGATGCTGACTGACCGCAAGGAAGCCGCGTCCTGGGCACGGCGGTGAGTGGGATGAGAATTGGGGTCAGAGTGGGCGTCTTGGCCAGGCTGGCAATCTGAGTGCCTGAATTCTGGGTGGTACTTTCTTTCCTGTTTCAGGATTAAGGTGGTCAGGCTGGGGAGCAAGGACCGGCTGGGTCACGGTTTTTGATAGCACTGTTTTTTGGAAGGGGTAGGGGTGATACTGTTTGCACAAGCCCGTTTGTCCTCCATTTTTTCTCTATGTCTCATCTCACAGGATGCACCTGGCCCTGAAGGCCTATCAGGAGCTGTTGGCCACAGTGAATGAGATGGACATGTCCCTGGACGAGGCTGTGAGGGAGAGCAGCCGCATCATCAAGAGTGAGGCCCTGGCCTGGTGTCTAATCCTGGCCTTTCCCATCTCTTGACCACAATCTCACTCTTTCCAGCCCCAACTTCATCCATCTCTGCCTTTCCCAAAGTTTCCAGACCAGTCCTTCCATTCCTTTCTCTTCCCCATTCCTAGACAACATTTTCTATGTGATGGAGTACCGAGAACTCTTCCTGGCACTCTTTCGAAAGTTTGATGAGAGATGCCAGCCACGCTCTTTCCTTCGGGACCTGGTGGAAACCACCCACCTCTTCCTCAAGATGTTGGAGCGGTTCTGTCGGAGCCGTGGGAACCTGGTGGTGCAGGTACTGGGCACTGGGATGTGGAAAGAGCCGTAGGGAAGGGTGGGGAACAGGGAACTCTCCTCACATTTCTGTAGCTTGAGCTGACTTGTTAGCACTACTCTGAACTAAGGAGGGCAAGGAGTTTGTTGGTGTTGCTGTTGTGAGTCTACTATAGTTTCCTTCTTTCATTAAATTAATCTCCAGTGTAATGTAAATATCCTAATTCATTCAGGAAACATTTACGAAACACCTATTATGTGCAAAACATATAAACTCTGGGGATTCATAATTTAGAGTTTAGTAATTATGCTGTGATCCTTTCTGGTTATACTCCATAAGCACTATAGTGAGATGGAAGGAGCCCTAAGTTAAAAGCCAGGAGGTCTAGAATCTCATCCTATATTAGTAATTGTTAGGATAACTCAAGCTACTCATGTCAGTCCTCAGATCCCTAAAGATGGGATTGTAATATAAGCCTGAAATGAAATAAAAAACTAAAAGTCTTGGACAAGGGGCACCTGCCTGGCTCAGTCGGTGGAGCGTGTGACTCTTTTTTTTTTTTTTTTAAATTATTAACATATAACGTATTATTTGTTTCAAGGGATAGGTCTGTGATTCATCAGTCTTACACAACACACACCGCTCACCACAGCACATACCCTCCCCAATGTCCATCACCCAGCCACCCCATCCCTCCCACTCCCCTCCACTCCAGCAACCCTCAGTTTGTTTCCTGAGATTAAGAGTCTCTTATGGTTTGTCTCCCTCTCTGGTTTCTTCTTGTTTCATTTTTTCCTCTCTTCCCCTCTGATCCTCTGCCTTGTTTCTCAAATTCCACATATCAGTGAGATCATATGATAATTGTCTTTCTCTGATTGACTTATTTCACTTAGCATAATACCTTCTAGTTCCATCCACGTCACTGCAAATGGTAAGATTTCAAATTTTTTTTTTTTTGCTGGCTGCATAATATTCCATTGTGTATGTGTGTGTGTATATATATATATATATTTTTATATATATATATATATACCACATTTTTATCCATTCATTTGTCGATGGACATCTGAGCTCTTTCCATAGTTTGGCTATTGTAGACATTGCTGCTATAAACATCGGGGTGCATGTACCCCTTCGGATCCCTACATTTGTATCTTTGGGGTAAATACCCAGTAGTGCAATTGCTGGGTCGTATGGTAGCTCTATTTTCAACTTTTTGAGGAACCCCCATACCGTTTTCCAGAGTGGCTGCACCAGCTTGCATTCCCACCAACAGTGTAGAAGGGTTCCCCTTTCTCCGCATCCCCGCCAACATCTTTTGTTTCCTGACTTGTTAATTTTAGCTATTCTGACTGGTGTGAGGTGGTATCTCATTGTGGTTTTGATTTGTATTTCCCTGATGCTGAGTGATATTGAGCACTTTTTCATGTGTGTGTCAGCTATTTGTATGTCTTCTTTGGAGAAATGTCTGTTCATGTCCTCTGCCCATTTCTTGATTGGATTATTTGTTCCCTGGGTGTTGAGTTTGGTAAGTTCTTTATAGATTTTGGATACTAGCCCTTTATCTGACCTGTCATTTGCAAATATCTTCTCCCATTCTGTCAGTTTGTCTTTTGGTTTCGTTGACTATTTCCTTTGCTGTGGAAAAGCTTTTTATCTTGATGAAGTCCCAATAGTTCATTTTTGCCCTTGCTTCCCTTGCCTTTGGTGATGTGTCTAGGAAGAAGTTGCTGCAGCTGAGGTCGAAGAGGTTGCTGCCTGTGTTCTCCTCTAGGATTTTGATGGATTCCTGTCTCATATTTAGGTCTTTCTTCCATTTTGAGTCTATTTTTGTGTGTAGTGTAAGGAAATGGTCCAGTTTCATTCTTCTGCATGTGGCTGTCCAATTTTCCCAACATCATTTGTTGAAGAGACTGTCTTTTTTCCATTGGTCATTCTTTCCTGCTTTGTCAAAGATGAGTTGGCCATAGAGTTGAGGGACCATTTCTGGGCTCTCTATTCTGTTCCATTGATCTGTATCTCTCTTTTTGTGCCAGTCCCATACTGTCTTGATGATGACAGCTTTGTAATAGAGCTTGAAGTCTGGCAATGTGATGCCTGCAGCTTTGGTTTTCTTTTTCAACATTCCTCTGGCTATTCAGGGTCTTTTTTGGTTCCATACAAATTTTGGGGTTATTTGTTCTAGTTCTGTGAAAAAAGTTGATGGTATTTTGATGGGGATTGCTTTGAATGTGTAGATTGCTCTAGGTAGCATTGACATTTTAACAATATTTGTTCTTCCAATCCATGAGCATGGAATGTTTTTCCATTTCTTTGTGTCTTCCTCAATTTCTTTCATGAGTGTTGTATAGTTTTCTGAGTACAGATCCTTTGCCTCTTTGGTTAGATTTATTCCTAGGGTATCTTACAGTTTTTGGTGCAATTGTAAATGGGACTGACTCCTTAATTTCTCTTTCTTCTGTCTCGTTGTTGGTGTATAAAAATGCAACTGATTTCTATGCATTGATTTTGTATCCTGCTACATTACTGAATTCCTGTATGAGTTCTAGCAGTTTTGGGGTGGAGTCCTTTGGGTTTTCGGAGCAGGTGACTGTTGAACTGTTGGGAGTTTGAGTGGCACGTTGGGTGTAGAGATTACTTAAAAATAAAATCCTTAATAAATAAATAAATAAATAAATAAAAGTCTAGGGTAAGAAAACACTAATTCAAAGGGAAACATGCACCCCTTTGTTTATTGCAGCACTGTTTATAATAGCCACACTATGGAAGCAGCCCAAGTATCTATCCATAGATGAATGGATAAAGATGTGTATTTTTATATATATATATATATAAAATAGAGTATCATTCAGCCATAAAAAAGGATGAACTCGCCATTTGCAACAACATGAATGGAGCTAGGGAGAATAATGCTAAGTGAAATAAGTCAGCAGAGAAAGGCAAATACCATATGATCTCACTCATATGTGGAATTTAAGAAATAAAACGAGGAGAGGAAAAAGAGACAAACCAAAAATCAGACTCTTACCGATAGAGAACAAACTAATGGTTACCAGACAGGAGGTGGGTGGGGGGCATGGGGGAAATAAAGAATGGGGATTAAAGAGTACACTTATCATGATGAGAAAAATGAAATACAATGATAAAGTCTAAGACAAGAAGAAAATCTCAATGAATTTGTATATCCTGCAGACACAGGCACTCTGCTTTGTAAAAATCTTCCTGTAATTCTACTTGCTGTGGCTTACAGTTTGGTCAGAACTGGACTTAAAAGTAGTACCAGTGAGACCTTACGAAAAGATATTTTTACATTCAGGGCTCTATTGTATTCTCAGAAATACGAGGTGCTGTTGCTTATTGAGTGTTTACTGTGTGTCAGACGCTGTGCTTAGGTTTTCATGTCATCCTCATGGTAGCGCTAGGACCCGTGCACATAGTGGTGAAGCAGCTTGTTCGAGCTCTTGCTAGTGGCTAGTGTCAGTACTTAAATCCAGATCTGTTGGGCTCCAAAGTTTATGCTACTAACTTTTGGTGTGTTACGAGTTTCTTGAATAGAGCGTGAGCCTCAAGGGCCTCCTAGTCCATCCTATTTGCCTGTGCCCCAAACTGGTTCACAGCCTTGATTTGGGGGAGCAGGGGTGGGGTGCTGACTCTCATTTTCCTGCTTTTCAGGAGAAAAAAAATACAGGTTATGTGTACATAGTGCTTTGCATTTTACAGAGCCTTTTCATATCGAATTTCGTATCCTCATAGTCAGTCTGTTCATTCTGTAAACTTCTGCTTAAGATATCACTGCTCTGGGGAAATCCCTGACCCCAAGAAATAAGTCAAGTACTATTCCTGTGTTTTGCCGTAGCATTTTATGCCCAGCCATATTCTAGTTCTTGCCCATACTGTAATATACTTTACCTGTCTCCTTCACTGGACTGTGCTCCTCAAGGGCAGGGAAATAGACCTTCACTCTTGCTTCCCTATTGCTTATGAATAGCCCACAGTGGTCACTCTGTGACTATCAAATTAATTAATTCAGGCCTCTAATGAATGATTGGAGAAGACATTGATGGGAAAACGTCCTCTTAGCTTTCCAGCCATCCTAACAACAGTTCTTTCTCCAAAGAACAAACGAAAGAAGAGAAAGAAGAAAAAGAAGGTTCTAGATCGGCCTGTTGCTTCTGGTGATGTCCCCTCTGGTGCAGGGGCACTAGAGGCTGTGTGGCCATCCCTGGCCGAGCAGCTACAGTGCTGTGCCCAGGTAGGTCGCTGCAGACGCCCTCCCTTTCCCAGGGGTAGTGAGCTGGTGGGCTGTCTGGGGTTCCCTCCTCTGTTCCCATAGCCTTAATCCCGCTCTAGGGTCCAGAGCTCAGTGTGGACTCCGTGGTTCCCTTTGATGCGGCTTCAGAGGTGTCTGTGGAAGAGCAGCGGGCAGAAGCCATGGTGCGGATCCAAGACTGTCTCCTGGCTGGCCAGGCCCCACAAGCCCTGGCCCTCCTTAGGTCTGCCCGGTAAGAGCTCTGCGCCCCCACCTCCGTCCTCCTGGATCCAGCTCCTGGGCTTTTGGGGGCAGAGGGAGGCTTTCCCTGGTGGTCCAGGTTTCTTTGTCTTCCAAAGAGAGAAGCCCCATGAGAAGCACAGGGGCTCTGTACTGAGCACCGAGTTCTGGGCAGTTTCGATTGGCATATTGGGGGTTGGGTTGTTCGTTTTTCTTTTATTTTTGAGAAATATCAGAAAGCACCGTTAATTGGAAAAAATACAAATAATTCTACTGGCTAAAGGTAATCAGTCATCTTTAACATTTTGATGAGTCATCTTTCTTTTTTCCCTCCGTGTTATGTATAGACATACACAGCTTTTTTTACAACAATGAAATATTGTACGTCCGGTTTTATAGTATTTTTTTTTTACTTCTCAGTATGTCATGAGCATCGTGTCTCATGAGATATAGTGCCGTAATTGTTTTTTTTTTTTTTAAGATTTTATTTATTTATTTGAGACAGAGAGAATGAGAGACAGAGAGCATGAGAGGGAGGAGGGTCAGAGGGAGAAGCAGATTCCCTGCCGAGCAGGGAGCCCGATGCGGGACTCGATCCCGGGACTCCAGGATCATGACCTGAGCCGAAGGCAGTCGCTTAACCAGCTGAGCCACCCAGGCGCCCCGTAGTGCCGTAATTGTTAATGGCAATGTGAGACGTACCTTTGTTCAACCAAGTGTGAGACATTTCGATTGTTTGCATTTTGTTCGTGCGGTATTCAGTGCAGTGTGGCTGATGAGGCAGGATTTCCCTAGAGTCTTTGTTTCATCTTTGAGGTAACAGTTTGCATTCTCTTCCTGGCTGACAGATGAAAGATTAGTCCAAATTCCTTCGCCCACCTCAAATTGTAACTCAGATTCCCCCTGGCTAAGGTCTTTTTTCTCTCCGTGCTTCAGGGAGGTGTGGCCAGAAGGAGATGTGTTTGGCCCTCAAGACATTTCTGCAGAGGAAGAGATCCAGCTGCTGAAACAGATCCTCTGCGCCCCGCTTCCCCGTGAGTCTCCGTGTCCTTCACATGCCCTTCCTTCCAGCTCTCCTCTAGAACCAGCCTCACAGAGACCCAGTAATCCTCACTTTTTCTATAGGGCAGCAGGGGCCAGAGGAACGAGGGGCAGAGGAAGAGGAAGACGAGGACGAGGACGAGGAAGAGTTGCAAGCGGTCCAGGTGTCAGAGAAAGAATTTAATTTCCTGGACTACCTGAAACGGTGCGCGCCGAGCATTCGCAGTCGGGCCCAGGGTGGAGACTGTAGAGCTGGGAGGGTGAGCAGCGTCCTTCCCGTGCTGACACGCTCGCTCCCTCCCTCCCGTCCCGGCGCAGTTTTGCAAGCTCAGCTGTTGTGCGAGCCTGCGTGCTCCTGCTGCGGAGCTACGGACAGAACAGCGCCCACACCAACCGCTGTGTGGTCAAGCTGCTGCACCGCCTGGCCCACGACCTCCGGATGGAGGGCCTGCTTTTCCAGCTCTCACTCTTCTGCCTCTTCAACCGGCTGCTCAGCGACCCGGCCGCCGGGGCCTACAAAGTGAGGACGCAGCAAGCAGCGGGCATCGAGAGGCGTAGGGGAGTGCTAGGGTCACAAAGGATAGTGTTCAGGAGACAAAGGGTGCTGAGCGGTGCCGAGGGCTGAGAGATGACAGAACGGTGAGGAAGCAGGCAGGCAGGCTGAGGGGGCTGGGGGAGGGGGGCGGCTAGGAGAGTCTGAGTGAGGAGGGGCAGCCGGGAACAGGCAGAAAGTACCTAGAGGCCCTGGTTGATGTGTACATTTAGGCCAGAGGTCGCACAGCAGCCTCCCTCGCCCACAGGAGCTCGTGACTTTCGCCAAGTACATCCTGGGCAAGTTCTTTGCGTTGGCTGCAGTCAACCAGAAAGCCTTTGTGGAGCTGCTGTTCTGGAAGAACACAGCTGTGGTCCGAGAGATGGCCGAGGGCTATGGCTCTCTGGACGGCGGGTGAGCTTGAAGATGGGGACCGATGGGCAATAGTGGGTGACACGGTCACAGAGTGTCAAAGCTGGAGGAGCTTGCAGATCAGCTAGTCTGACTTTCTTCCCCTTTCATAGGTGAGAAAACAAGCCCCCAAGGTGAAATGTTTTCCCTGAGATCACCCGAGAGAGGAAGTGGGACTGGATCCTAAGTCTCCTGTCTACTCTGGTTTCCTTCCTTCACCCGCCTTCGTGGGGGGTGGTCAGTTGGCAGTGGGGTGGCCCCTTAGAGTCCATATGTGCCCCGTCCCAAAATGTGCCGGGAAACTGAGGATTCATGGAAATGCTTGCCCTCTTTCCCTGTAGCTCAGCTCCTCTCCTTTTCCCATAATCCGCTCAGCCCTTGCTGTGTCAACTTCCATAGGCCCAACCCAGAAAGTCTCTTCGTTTGACTTTTGGGATCGTAAGTGGAAGGAGAATGAGGGAAAGGAAGCACACCTTAGGCCTCCGCTAACTGGCTCCTCTGAGTTACCTGCATTGCCTCTTGTTCCTTTTAGAGCTGACCAGAGAGGGCCTTTGGTCTCCTCTCTTGGGGCCAACATCCTACGTGCTCCCTTTCTCCTATCCCCATTTAGGTCCTCCAGTCGCAAACCCCCTATGTGGAGCCCGGAGGAGGAGGCCCAGCTTCAGGAACTATACCTTGCCCATAGGGATGTGGAAGGTATATGAGCCCTTGCGATCTGAAGATTTCTGAAGTGGGCAGCCTGAGCTCCAGGACCCCCTTTACTGCCTCACTCCCCCTCCCTCTTAGGTCAGGATGTGGTGGACATCATCTTGGCGCACCTGAAAACCCCTCGAACACGCAAGCAGGTCATCCACCATCTGGTACGGCTGGGCCTGGCTGACAGCGTCAGAGACTTCCAAAGGTAGAGGTGCATGCTCTGGAGGGCACTGAGATAGGGAGTCCTCCATTTGCTCCCTGGGCCCCCTCTTCCACTGACGTGTCCTTAAGCAGGAAAGGAACCCATATTGTACTGTGGACGGAAGATCAGGAGCTAGAGCTGCAGCGGCTGTTCGAGGAGTTCCAGGACTCAGATGGTAAGTGATGGCGGGACTTCCGAGCTGCTGAGATGAGAGCCGAGCTGTCCGTGTCTTGCCCCTGCCTCCTGTTCCCAAGGAAGGCTTGTTCCATCCCTTCTTTCCCTTTATTATATTTGTGGTGTCATTTGTGAGTGAATTGAATTAGCCTCTTTGCAGAGGCCTCTGCTCTCCTTCACTACTCCCTTCCCCCTGTTGCTCTAGTATTTACACTTGCCCTCTTTGTAGACGTGCTGGGCCATATCATGAAGAATATCACGGCCAAACGCTCACGGGCCCGAATAGTGGAGAAGCTGCTGGCTCTGGGACTGGTGGCTGAGCGGCGGGAGCTATATAAGAAACGCCGCAAGAAGCTGGCGCCCTCAAGCTTGGTAACAGTCTTTCCCTGGCTCTGCAGGGCGCCCTCCACCCCACCCCCGAAGCGCTCCTCACAGGTAGCTCACCTGGATGGTTCCTGCCTTAGGCTCTTTCTGGCTAGGTCCCCCCAGTTTCCAGGGGTGGTCAGGAACCAGAAGACTCCACGCCATTCCTCATCTTGTCCCCTTTTTTCATTTCCCACCCCACTGAATTTTAGCCTAATGGAGAGGAGTCCCAGAAAGATTTTTACCAGGAAGATCTGGAAGAAGGAGAAAACCGGCCAGAGGCAGAGAGTGACGAGGATGAAGGGAAAGAGGAGGAGGACTCAGAAGCAGAACAAGCCGAGGGTAGCTCAGTCCTTTCAGCTGAGACCCTTGGGCAAAGCCTGTCTCAGGAAGGTGAGGACTTGGGCTGGGAGAGATGTCTCAGGTGGAGGGGTTGGCAGTATGAGCCCATGGTAAGTTTCCCTCCTTCCCATAGGCTTCTCTGCTCCCCTTCTGTGGCTCCAGAGCTGTCTGATTCGAGCAGCTGACAATCGAGAAGAGGATGGTGAGCAGATAAATGGCGGTTTCCAGGGCTGGGGTAGCGGAGGCTGCCGGACACGTGCCCATGGGATGCTGGCCGTGGGATGGACCACCAGTTCTGGCTTCTGGTCTTCACCACATGACCACTGACCCTGTCCTAGGCTGCTCCCAGGCAGTGCCTTTGGTGCCGCTGACGGAAGAAAATGAGGAAGCAATGGAAAATGAGCAGTTTCAACAGCTATTGCGCAAGCTTGGGGTTCGGCCTCCTGCCTCTGGGCAGGTAAATACCCTGGTTCCACTTTGAGCCACGGCGGCGTGTTGCCACTCCTTTACAGTACATCTCTTCCTCCTCATTGCAGTTGCCATCTCTGACTTCCTTTCTGGTCAGCTCTGACCGAGGCTCCTGCAGCACCCGTCCTGTTCATGTTCTCTGGTCTCCCCGTCCCCTACTCCACCTTCCATGCTGCCCCCCAAGTTATCTTTCTAAAGTAGGGTTTTGAGTATATCACTCCCCTGTCCAGAGCACTGGGTGGTTCCCCACTGTTGGCGGGACAGAGTCCGCAGCCTCTGAGTGGCATGCCTGGCCTTGGCCAGCCTTTGCACCCTCACGGCCACGCCACCCACACACCTCCCTTTCACCATTGTCATCCTGGACTACTTTGCATACCTCCAAACAGCTGGTCGTGCCAGTCCCTCCACTGAATGTCTCCGACTGCACATACAAGGCGACACTCACCTGTCACCCGTCTTCCTGATGAACCTCCACTCAGCCTTCAAAAGTCAGTTCAGTTGTCCCCTCCTCAGAGAAGTGTCCCTATCACTCCTTCAACCTCTGAAGTGACAGTAGTAACTTTGGTAGCTGGGATTTGCTCATTCCCCTGATGTAGCCCCAATCCTGTGATGTTACAGTATGTTGGTTCTTTCTTCCACTAGATTGTGGGTTTCTTGAAAGCAGGGATCATATCTGATTCACCTTTGGATCCCGGATATCCATTCATTGATTTATTTAATTAACAACTGAATTTCCTGGGAACCTTCGGATGTATCAGGCACTGTGCATATATTGGATAAATAAGCAGTAAGAATTTACAACCTTTGTGGATCTTCACCAATGTGGGATCATATCTATTCAATGAATAATACCAAGATCTGGTGAACTAGAGTCTGCTCCTTTCCTGTTACTCCCATTTTCAACTTCTTTGCTCCTGTAGGAAACCTTCTGGAGAATTCCAGCTAAGCTGAGTCCTACCCAGCTCCGGAAGGTAGCGGCTTCTTTGAGTCAGCCCGAGGAGGAGGAAGAACTTCAGCCAGGACCAGAACCTAAAGTGCCGGGAGAGCAAGGCCCTGAAGAGGAGCACCAAAAGGAGCACCGTGCACAGGCCCTAAGGGCCCTCCTGCTAGCCCGAAAAAAGAAAGCCGGCCTGGTGTCCCCAGGGGGTAAGACCACTTACCTATTGGGTACTTACTATGGGCCAGCCATGTTGATCGAGAGGACTGATAGGGTATTTTGAGAATATGAGGGCCTGGTTCCCTAATTCCATGCCTCTTATGGTCATTTCAGGGGAAGGGGCTGCTGGCGAGAAAGAACAGCTGAAAATGGCACCCAGGAAGCGACAACTGCTAGACAGCGATGAGGAACAGGATGAAGACGAGGGCAGGAACAAAGGTAGGGTGTCTGACTGGGATCTGCTTTTTCTTCTGACCTCTAGCACTCTTCTCCTCAGTCCTGAAGATCAGCGCTACTGCCCCACTTCTCCCTTAACATATTTACTCTCTCTTCTCACCCCTGTCGTTCCCCTGGCCCCAGAGTCAAGAGCTCCAGAAATCCTAAAGAAGAAACGGTTCCAGATTGAGGATGAAGATGAGAGCGACTGAAGACCTAGAAGCTTCGGGGAAGGGGTAGACCATTTTTAGGTGGGGAATTTAAGTCAGAGTTCAGAGGGTCACACAGGACCCAGAGACTCCTCTTACCAGACAGAAGCAGTAGAGTCCTGGGCTTCCCCGTGGATCTACGGTTCTGGAAGTTCAGGCAGGGACACCTGGGTGGCTCAGTCATTAAGCGTCTGCCTTCGGCTCGGGTCATGATCCCAGGGTCCTAGGATCGAGCCCCGGATCGGGCTCCCTGCTCCGGGGGAGGCCTGCTTCTCCCTCTCCCAGTCCCCCTGCTTGTGTTCCCTCTCTTGCTGTGTCTCTGTCAAATAAATAAAAGGCAACAGCTGTTGGATTCCTTTGCAGTCACTCCTTGCTTCTCCCAGTTTTAGCAGAATGCCTCAGTAGCTCTCTGGGGACTTACTCCTCTTCTAGGATCCATTTCTTTGGGTTCGTAGCGCCCCTTATCAAATGAGAGACGTGAGCAACATATAGAAGGCACCTTGGACCCCTTTCGGCTTTCTGCTAGAGGTGGGTCACAGCACCAGATGGGGAGCGTTGTGACATGACGGGTGGGGGTGTTGCACCATTTTTAAAAGACACCAGATGCTCCCAGGCTCGTTTCTTTCCTGTGATCACCCCCTAGACACCATATTGAACCTAATTCCTGCAGTTGAGGTAGGGTTAGGATGCAGTACTTGCTAGATGATGAATGTGTTTGGTATTAAATTAAACGTGTCTAATTAAATTGAAAGTTGCCAACGTTGATATGACGTGCCAATCTGTCTAAGGACCCCAGCCTTCCACCTGCTATGTTCTCGGAAGAAGAACTTTTAACTCTTCGGGTTGAAAGAAACCATCTCCCGTCCCTTTTCTCCTGCCTTCCCTACAGAAGACACGAAAACATTCTCACCTCCTGATCCTTTGTCTAGGATAAATCTTCGGGGTGACAAATGTCCGCAGCAGGAAGAAGCTGGAGCCACAAAGGAGCAAAAGCCAGTTCTCCACCTTGGGGCAGAGTGGAGGATAAAGTCTGGGCAAGAAAGAGATGGATAGAGATTACAAATGTCATGTCCTTCCCAATTCTTGGAAACCGTCAGCTTTCTGGCTCCCTGTGTTTCTGGCTAAGGTAGGGTGAGGGAGAGATTCAGGAAATAAGCATTCAGATCAGGGAGAACCCTAGGTAAAGGATGCGTTTGGACTATCTTGTTCCTCCAACTTGGTGTTTTTTTTCCTCCCACAGCCCCTAAAGGTAGAGGTGAAGCTATCTCCAGGAAAATTGAAGTTTCCAAGGGCTGAGACACTTCCCAGCTCAGACCGGTCTTGGTAGATCTTTATGCCCAGCCTTTCCCCACTTGCCAGCCTGAGCACTGCTGCTTTTCAGCAGGGCTCTGCCTGCTCCTCTGCTGTGTCTTGCTGTCCCCATTGGCTGTCTTTCCAAGAAATGCCCAGAAAGGGGCCCTGACCTGTCAGCCATCTTTGAAACTTCCAGCCCCAATTTCTTCTACCAGTTTCTCTTACCAAGTATAGACCATTTACTTGGGTACAGAGGTATTGCTGTCCTTTTCCGTTTATTTACCCCGTAGTTTTGAATTTTTTTTAAAAAAGATTTTATTTATTTATTAGATAGAGCTAGCATGAGTGGGGGGAGGGTCAGAGGGAGAAGTAGACTCCCGGCTGAGCAGGGAGCCCGATGCGGGGCTCAATCCCAGGACCCCGGGATCATGTCCTGAGCCCAAACCAAGAGTCAGACGCCCAACCAACTGAGCCACCCAGGCATCCCCATTGTGGCAATTTCTTAAAATAACACAAGTTTGGTGCATTGATTGACTCTTCCTTTCATGAATGATATCTCCGTAGCATGCGATGCTGCTCAATAGCATTTTACCTACAGCAGAACTTCTTTCACAATTGGAGTCAATCCTCTCAAACCCTGCTACTGCTTTATCAACTAAGTTTATGTAGAATTCTAACTTCTTTGCTGTCGTTTCAATAATCTTCACAGCATCTTTACCGGGAGTCAATTCCATCTCAAGAAACCACCCTCTTTGCTCATCCTTAAGAAGCACCTATTCGTCCAGGAAAGTTTTTTTTGTTTGTTTGTTTTTTTAAAGATTTTATTTATTTATTTGAGAGAGAGAGACTGAGAGAGAGAGCACATGAGAGGGGGGAGGGTCGGGAGGGTCAGAGGGAGAAGCAGACTCCCTGCCGAGCAGGGAGCCCGATGCGGGACTCGATCCAGGGACTCCAGGATCATGACCTGAGCCGAAGGCAGTCGCTTAACCAACTGAGCCACCCAGGCGCCCCATCCAGGAAAGTTTTATCATGAGATTGCAACAACTCATCTTCAGTCACCGCTGCTTATTCTAGTTCTCTTGCAATTTCCACCACATCTGCAGTGACTTCCTCCATTGAAGTCTTGAACCCCTCAAAGTCATTCTTGAGAGTTGGAGTCAACTTCTCCCAAACTCCTGTTTATGTTGATATTTTGCCCTCTTCCCATAATCATGAATGTTCTTTTCTTTTTTTAAGATTTACATATTTGAGGGAGAGAGAGCGCAAGCGGGGGGAGTAGCAGAGGGAGAGGGAGGAAAAAGATTCCGTGCCGAGCCCAGAGCCCGATGCGGGGCTCCACATGGGACTGGAGACTCACGACCCTGAGATCAGGACCTGAGCTGAAATCAAGAGTCGGATGCTTAACCAACTGAACCACCCAAGTGCCCTGAATCACAAATGTTCTCATCTTTAAAATTCTTTTTTTTTTAAGATTTTATTTATTTGGGCGCCGGGGTGGCTCAGTTGGTTAAGCGACTGCCTTCGGCTCAGGTCATGATCCTGGAGTCCTGGGATCGAGTCCCGCATTGGGCTCCCTGCTCGGCAGGGAGTCTGCTTCTCCCTCTGACCCTCCCCCCTTTCATGTGCTCTCTCTCTCTCATTCTCTCTCTCAAATAAATAAATAAAATCTTTAAAAAAAAAGATTTTATTTATTTGACAGAGCGAGAGCGCACAAGCAGGAGGAGCAGTAGAGAGGGAGAAGCATGCTTCCCACTGAGCAGGGAGCCCGACGCGGGGCTTGATTCCAGCACCCTGGGATCATGACCAGAGCTGAGGGCAGACGCTTAACCGACTGAGCCACCCAGTGCCCCAAGAATGTTCTTGATGGCATCTAGCATGGTGATTCCATTCCAAAAAATTTTCAATTTACTTGGCTCAGATCCATCAGAGGAATCACTGTCTATGGGAGCCCTACCAAATGCATTTCTCAAATAATAAGACTTGAAAGCCAAAATTACTCCTTGATCCATGGGCTGCAGAGTGTATATTGTGTTAGCGGGCATGAAAACCACATTAATCTCATTGAACATCATCAGAGCTCTTGGGTGACCAGGTGCATTGTCAATGAGCAGTAATATTTTGAAAGCAACCTTTTTCTCTGAGCAGTAAGTCTCAACAGTGGACTTAAAATATTCAATACACTGGGGCACCTGGGTGGCTCAGTCGTTAAACGTCTGCCTTTGGTTCAGGTCACCATCCCAGGGTCCTAGGATCAAGCCCCACATCGGGCTCCCTGCTCGGCGGGAAGCCTGCTTCTCCTTCTCCCACTCCCCCTGCTTGTGTTCCCTCTCTCGCTGTGTCTGTCAAATAAATAAATAAAATCTTTTTTTTTTTTTTAAAGATTCTATTTATTTATTTGAGAGAGAGAATGAGAGAGAGAGAGCACATGAGAAGGGGGAGGGTCAGAGGGAGAAGCAGACTCCCTGCCGAGCAGGGAGCCCGATGCGGGACTTGATCCCGGGACTCCAGGATCATGACCTGAGCCGAAGGCAGTCGCTTAACCAACTGAGCCACCCAGGCGCCCGTAAATAAATAAAATCTTAAAAAAAAAAAAAAAAAAAAAAAAGCTTTACAAAGGAGCTTAAGAGAACGAGTCACATCTTACATTGGTTCTACCCCCAGAGTACACCGCTCCTCATTTCTGACCTTGACTCCTACAGTATCTGACCCTCTAAGATTCCTCGTCCCAGTCTCCTCTTCCCTTTCATTCTTGTTCCATTCTACCTGCAGAATTCCTTTTAAAATGTGGTTCCGATCATGTCATTGCCCTGCTCAAGAGCATTTGATGGTCTCCCATTTCTTTCGGGACAGAGTCTGGATCCAGAATAGCATGCCTCATCTTGGCAAGTCTTTGCAGCTTCAACTGCCTTATTTTACACTGTTGCCCTCCCCCGACTTTTTTTTTTTTTAAGATTTTATTACTATTATTTTAAGTAATCTGTACACCAATGTGAGGCTCGAACTTACAACCCTGAAATTAAGAGTTGCATGCTTTACTGACGGAGCCTGCCATGTGCCCCAGCCCCTCAGACTATTTTGAATCACCCTCACAGAGCAGGCCTTTTCCTGCCACCAAACTGTTGATTATGGGGCACCTGGGTGGCTCAGTCGGTTAAGTGACTGCCTTCAGCTCAGGTCATGATCCTGGAGTCCCGGGATCGAGTCCCGCATCGGGCTCCCTGCTCAGCAGGGGGTCTGCTTCTCCCTCTGATCCTCTTCCCTCTCGTGCTCTCTGTCTCTCATTCTCTCTCAAATAAATAAATAAAATCTTTAAAAAAAGAAAAAAAAACCTGTTGATTATGACAGCCTCTGTGCTGGTGGGCTCTATCCAACTCCTATCTCATCAGCTCAGATAGGCTTGCTTTTGTGATGCAGTCTTTGTCATTCTTGGAACCTCAAACCACAAGCAATCACTTTTCTAGCTGGGATTTGTTCATTCCCCTGATAAAGTGCCAATCTTACAGTGTTTCATCTGGTTTGTTCCTTTTCCCATTAGATTGTGAGCTCCTTGAAAGGACTGTCTTACTCACCTTTAGGTCCCAAAGGTGCATTTATTACTATATCCAATTAATACATGTTTTCAGTGCCTCCTATATGGTCGCCATTCTGGGCTTTGGGTGTTAATTGGGAGTGATTACTAAAGACTAGGCATGGGTGCCTGGGTGGCTCAGTCGGTTAAGCGGCTGCCTTTGGCTCAGGTCATGATCCTGGAGTCCCAGGATCGAGTCCCGCATCGGGCTCCCTGCTTGGCAGGGAGTCTGCTTCTCCCTCTGACCCTCCCCCCTCTCATGTGCTCTCTCTCTCTCTCTCAAATAAATAAATAAAATCTTTAAAAAAAAAAAAAAAAGACTAGGCATATGTAGGTGAATAAAGCAATATTAATAAGGGTCCCAGCACTTGCAGATCTACCCCGGTGCAGTATTAAGCACAAAGTAGCTGTTAATACTAACAATGTGCTGATCTAGAGGCTGGTTCTTTCACTTTGCTATCATTTTCAACTTCTTTGATGCCATAGGAAAG